GTTTCCTGCATAGCAGAAATTATTTCCTGCATAGACTCTGACACAGTCCTAACCAGTCCTCTGATATAGTGCTTCAATTCAACAGCAATTTTTACCTCAGTTTCATGAGCTAAACTTGCAGTGTTTACACCAAGTTTGTGTTTGAAGGTGCTTCATAGTGGATATAAATAAATCTTTGTGGGTTTTTTTATTTACATTGTTCTTGTAGGACGCTTTATCATATTATCTGTCTTTTAAGCAGCAAGCAGCAACATTACCTTGTGAAGGTGAAAGGAAAAGAAGGCCTGCTATAAATTCATTAGTACATCTATCCCAAAGAGCTGGATTTTATGTGATGCTGTTAAAGATTGTAAAATTCAGGACTAAAGAAAGATAAAAAGAATTTGATAGTACATTTTTTAGAAGTGCACATATTCTGGAGAACTGGCACAATGTAAAGAGCCAGGTAATGCAGGTTTCCCAATTCATGTCAACTATTTTAACACATAGAAACCAGAAACAAGTGTCTAAAATGGCTTTATTACAGTAAATTCTACAAACAAAGCAAAGTTTTGCAGGAGAGTCAGCTGTGAACTTCTACATGTAAAAAGAAAGGGTAAACTATTTGCAAATAAGCCTGCATTTTTTTAAAAAAACTCTAATATTAGTTTTTTTAAAACTCTAAATTTAGGTTTTCTGTATAAAATGAATATGTGATATATTCTCAGGATCCTACAAACTAATTTCTGCAGGTCAATGCAGAACACGTATTCATGACCTATCATCTGTTTTATAGGCACAGGAGGACACCCCAACCTTAGATCCTATGATAACTTATACTTAAGAATTTCACACATTTTGACTAACTTCTGCATCATGCTGTCTACCTTTTGGTTAATCATGAAAAAATATCCATCTTTTTAAGCTCGACCTTGGTAAAGATTTCAAGTGATGCCAAATTCACACCTTCCTGTGATAAGTTAGTTGAAGTGGTAATTAAATTCCTCTTTAAGGAGCTGTAATTTAGTTACCGTTTAAATTTTTTAACTTTATTTCAATACAAAATGTTTCAAACTAGCAAAAGCAATTGATTCTGAAAGCCTCTCTGTTTCATACGTTATACACGCCAAAGTCTTACAGATTTTGCTTCATTAATGCTGACAAACAGCACAGGTAATTATCCTGGTTTGAGAAAAGGTATATTGAATGCCTAGATTTTGAGGGAGAGATTGTTTTCAATTTCTCCTTTTAAAGACAGACGCAAACACCTTAAAATTGAGGTAGGCAACAGCAGATCTGCTACCTACAGAACTAATATAAAATCTGAAGCATTGTGTTGGTAACATACTCAGACCATATTCTTTTTGTTTTCTCTTAATGAGTATCCCAACTGGACACTGAAATACAAGCACCTGAAAATTCAGACCTCAAATTATATTAAATCCTACACCATGATATTTTGAACATTAACCCCCAAACCACCTTTTCTTTTCACCTACAGCTGGGAAGACATGACAAGAAACATTACCAGATATTTCATTCAGTTCAACATGATCTCTTTCTCACAAAAACATTAGGTGAAGTCAAAATCTTACAGAGATAGTTCATCATGCACACTATATCAAGGAAACTTTGTGGCTGAGGAAGCAGTTTCTTTCAGAAAATGCTAATTCATTCCAGATTCACATTGTTTTATATAAAAGATATGCCTTAGTATTTTTTGAAAATACGGTGACATTAATTTTTCCAATTTGATTACTATTAATAGTGCCTTCTTAGTGTTTGATGCTTCCTACTGCAAGATTGGAAATATGCTGGGTACCCTCTAGTGGACAAAAGGATGTACAATTTCTTACGGTATCATTCAAAGACTGGAGTATTTCTGCATATAGCTCAAGCCAATGAAATACACTATGTCAAAGTTTACCCCAAACATGAACATTTCTCATACAATCATCATCCAAAACAGACAGGAAATGTAAGCATAATTTCTAAAATAAAAAAGGGAGGCCTTATTTTGCTTCTAGCACAAACTGCGTAGCCTGAAGCCACGTGACAAGCCTTTCTCTCTCACTAGCTGATATGACCCATTCCAATTGCCTGGCATTTCCTATGAGTTTTTAGTGACAACGTAATGGCTGTGTAAAGTATAAGGAAGTATATATTGAACCTACTACTTAAAAATTCTATACATTTTTTAGAGGGAACCTGGAGTTCCCAGCTCCTGCTGACCTCAGTTTAATACATACACTTTATTTTGCTTCAGCTACTCATTAGGCCATTCAATGTTGGAACATATAGATCCGCTTTAGATTTTATTGGTTTTCTTTAATGACCTGCTCTGAGAAATCTGCAGAATGAACATAAGATTATTGTTGTACACAGATGCTACAACTATCTTTTCATTAAAAAGTGAATCGCTACTGGCTACCTTGAACAAGCAGCAGATCAGATATCAGGTACATTTATGCATTTATTTATTTATTTTCTGAAACTTGTTCTTACAGTTTGTCAACTTCTTTGAGGAATGTGAAATTACTTTTGGAATTTTTTGATAGTCACTACATAACTTACTCTAATAGATCTTCCATGTGACTGACTGACATCACTGATTTGACACACCAATTAAGACTGTGTCAGTATTTCCTTCACACTTTATGCATCACTGGGTCACCTTCACCTAGATATCTCTGTTATATCATTTCATTGCTGAGCTTTTTCCGTGGCTAATTTGACACATATGCTATCAGTACTTCTGATTTCTGTATGCAAATCAGATGAAACACCTTGAGTTAGAATTCAAGAATATTTCTCTTCTCACAGATGCTAGAAAACATCTTAATATATATTTCATGGTTTTTTTTGTCTCAGTGTGGTTCATTTCTTTTGTTTTTATATATCATCTAATCTCTAGGCCTGCACATAATAAAGGAGCTTATGTGTAAAAGCAGTGCAGCAACTAAGTCATACCCTTAAAAAAAAGGATTATAGCTTCCTCATGCATGGTCTTAAGTACCTCAAAAGGAGCTCCAGAGTAGCTAGCATACAGTGAAGACAGCCCTACTGTTAGCCAATAAGCAATTCTCTGGCAGGAGGATGACCAAAATCATTCTTTTTGAGAGCACAAATTCAGGGTTCCTTTTCTTCCCCGATTGATTCACAGGTTGAAATTCTACTCTGTGTTTTCCTGTCTGCAAGTATTCCTTGAGGGATGTCAGTGTGGCTCACTGCTGGAACCCGGCTGGTGGCAGCAGTAAAGCAGCTCAGCTAAGCGACGTGGCAGGTAGGCCTTATCTAGGACACGACAGGCCATAGTTTCAACTTTCTTCTCAGCTTTAGCTGTTTAAGCCTATGTTTTTCATTTCCAGGAGACTGCCTTAATTAAAAAATAAATATGTTTATCTGGGTTGAGGTTGACCCAACATTTAACAACAGACCTGGGGGTGACAAGCAGAGCTGGATGCTGCTGCCAGCTGTGAAGGAGACACTTGTGTTCCAGGCCCCGGCGCTCTTACTGTTCCCATGTGGATTTTGTATTAAACTAATACAGGATACAATGGACAGGAGAGAGATAAGAGATAGGCTTTTAGTAATTAACATCATTATCCTTGATTTTAGAAAAGTGAGCAATTTATTTGAAGGAAAAGGTTAAGTTATACACATAGCACAGCATTAAGAAAATCTGGGTAACGTTCACTCCAGTTCATCTGATTAAATGTCTCTCATATGAGAGCAGGGAAAAATCTTTCCATTACTTTGAAAAGTCTCCTTTGAGGGACAGGATCAAGAAGTTTTGGTGCATTTGTCTTTCAGGCACAAACAATAGGTGTCTCCAACTAACAACTTGAGATTAGATTATAAAACCACTTTTCCAAGATTTATGCAGCCCTATCTCAGGCAAAATCTTTTGTTCATCTTCAAGTTTGAAAGAAAAACAAACAAAACTTCCCCACTTCATATGAATTTTTTCTTCTCAGATGTTGCGATATTCATATTTATAAGACAGTTTACAAGAATACTGTACTCCTCGGAATTTCCCTCTGGTCTAGAAGACTGATTAGGATTTCTTTCATGTCTATACCTGACTCAAAATTGTCTCAATTAGAAGCAAGGGAGGAGAACGGAAAACTTTTCTGTAACAGATCTCTTGAGGGCTCAAAAGGTCAGGCCAGACAGCAGCTTCCATATAGAAAAATTGTGTCACTACTTCCTTCAAAAAAATAGAACAAGCTATTCTTACAGTCACAATCAAACTGCTTGTACTAATCCAAAAGAATGGTTGAATCTTGAAAGATCAGTTTAATTTGACTATTTCTATTGCTAATCATTCTTTAATACAATGCTTTCAAAAAAATATTAATTTTATATAGCTCCTCTGTCTTGCTTTTCTTAATACATTAAATGTTTTGGAGAACAGGACAAATGATGCCTATTTCCTGCATCTAAGGGTTTACTGATAAACTTATTTTTGTGATGGGCCAATCTGAGCTAATCTAATGGCTTCCACTGACATTTAGCAAAGTCCCCACAGACCACAGGGACTGCTGCTTAGGAAATGTGACCTTGTTTGAGTCAGTTGGTGTGGTTTCTGCTCCCCGACTGGAAAGACTTATTTCTAAATTAGACAGAAAAAATCACTAGGATTTTTAATCTCAAAGTAGAGATGGAAAAAAAGCAGGTAAAACACAACATATGACAAATGACCCCAAATATTTCCCCTTCCTCTTTGGCTAAAGATGGCTAAAGACCCAGATTTAAGACACTTGAGTAATATCTTGATTAAAACATAGAGATGATTTAAGAATTACCTTGAAGACAGTCATTCAACTTTATTTTCTTTTTTTTTATGGCACTGCACACACAGTGATCTGGATGTAAATAGTCCTGGTTTCCTCCTTCGAACAGTGAGTAGAATTGGTTTTCTAGACACAATTTTCTCTCATCAAGCTCCTATCAAGTTGTTTCCCAGCAGTTTCTGTGGTTCTCCTCATCCTCTGATCAAGGACATTGTCACTGTGCTGTCATCTTAATAGCCATGACAAATAAAATGGCATCTTTCACAGATCAGTCCTCTGCAATTAAAACATTAGATAGATGATGGTAGTGGGAGTGTTGTATAGCTTTTTTTTTTTTTTTTTTTTTGCTCTCTTTTCTGTACAATGCCCAACTTTTCCTAGGAATCTGTTATAGAATTTCTTCCAAACAACTCATACCACAACTATCCGTACACTATCTGTACTCGGTCAATGATGCACTGAACACAGAAGAGTAACCTCTTGTTTTGTATGTCAAGGATTGAGTAAGGATCATTTATTTTTCCTCTGTATATGTTCTGTTAACATTTGTTAGTATGGACAGACTGTGGGAATTCACAGATTCGCATCTCTTCTCAGTCCTTTATAGTTTCAGCTGGATGACTTAGAAAGATGCTATGGGATCTCCGGATGTGGAGATGTTCCGGAGTGTAACGGATTGGATTAGTACAGTAGGCAACCTGATTTCTTGTAGGAGATTATCTAATGGTTTCTCCTTCGTGTATCACAGCAGTAAACCCATGATCTCTCTACAGCTACTGGATGCCGCATGATGCAATTTAGATGATGTTTGCTTTCAAGTCTGAAGTAAAAGAGACACAGATACAGGAAGCCTAGACAGCACTGAGTAAACATCTCATCTAGGTTGAAACAACCTGTAAGAACAACAGAAATCAGATCATATTTTAAATAATATTTGAAGGGCTCCTCCTCTTCCTACTCCTCATTTTTTAAATCTCACTTTCCAATCCTGCACAGATATTTTCACTTTAGCAGACGTTTCCCCTTTGAGCTTTTCCTATCTGATATATTTCAGACTGAAGTCTCAAGCTGCTTGCTCACCTCTCCCTGCTTTAATGGATCAGTTGAGATGGAAAGAGAAAAATAGCTCAAGCAGATGTTTCAGAAGAAATCTTAGAAAATAACTGGAGGTTGCTAATGTGGGTTTTAATTTTATGTATGTGGCAGGATTAACAGATGCTCACTGAGACTAATAAAGACTTCTATCATTTTCCATGGAAACTGATAGCAAATTTGTACAAAAAAAAAAAAAAAAAAAAGAAGTTTGCTTTGTAAAGCTCACATGCAGATTTATTACACACAGTGAAATTCGATGAAATTTTGTGAGGGAAGCATTTATTCTCATTCAGACAAATGAAAACAAGAGAAGCTCACACCAAAGTGCTTAGGAGGCTGTGGCTACCCTGTGTGGAAGGTAGAAAAAGCTCAGAAGGAGAAATAAACTTCTCTACACTGAGCTTCACAAGACCCAGTTAATCACAGTTCTGCAATCCTTTTCCTCTCTTTCACTTTTTAGATAGCAGAAGTTATGCAAAGAAGCTACAGGTACACCTTAATCTCAGTGAATCGATTAGCAACGAGGTTTAACGCAGGTATTTGTACATACTCTCCCATCCTATTGCCCGTTGGCAACTGCTGAAGTGCAGAAAACCTTGAACACGACCCAAACTTATTTCTGTAAGTAATGACCTACTGGAGGTTAAAAAAAAACTATCCACCTATTATATCCTAGAGCACAAGTCTAAAGAAGGGGAGGATGCCAGGACAATTGATGCATTTACACATTTACCTTCTTAGTCACATTTTGAACTTACATTTCAAGATTAAAGGCTGCAGTAGTGAGCAACAGTAACAACAAAAACGCTCACTGGAAAAAAAAATGAGTTCCAAGGAAGACAAACTACAGGAAACAGAAGTCATGAGGACCACTGTCTCTGAAACAGTTTGCAGTCCAAGGCGGCTGGGGACTGAACAGCAGCTGTAGACTTAATGTGTGATACAACACCACAAAGACTTTGCATCAAGCTTGGTATCTGTCTGCTCAGTTCCTACACACACAAATCAAGTAGGGACTGATCTGGCATATAACTAATGCTCAATGATAGAGTGAAACTAAGTGATTTTTTCCAGGTTAGGCAGTGGACTGGCAGAGCTGAAGAAAGAAATTCCCACTCATCCCACTCCCACTTCTGCCCTGTTGGAGTCTCAGTCCTGTGCTTTAACCAGGGTGGAGCTCTGCCCGGATCAAATCCTTATAGAACACTACTGACAACCGGGAGCCATTCCTCCTGGACGACAACGGCAGACTGAAAACTCAGGGAAATGAAAGAAAAAGGGAAAGGAAAAAGGAAAGGAAAAACTTCTTCTTTCATCTTTCAGTGGTAGATGCTTTCACACTACATATTAGTGTAAAAGGGTTGTAAAAGCAGAAGCCTATGCCAGACTGTTAAGGGTTTTCATTAAGAAACAAACTTGTACAACAAGCTTTATTTTTTTCTATGGCGAGACTTGGAACATGCTAGAAGCACCTGAGAGAATAAGAAACCTGCAGGGCACCAGGAAATACAGCATAGAGAAGAGTCATTATGAAAACAACAGCAACTTTACTTTAGCATAAGTCTGGTTCCTTGGAATTAAAACTATATTTTCAGTTTTGTTTGTAGAGTAGAAATCAATCTTTCTGTAGGAGAAAAGCTGGAGGACATTGCTGTAGGGACATCACTTCTCGTACTTTCCTCATCAGAATTCCCTTCTCACTCTATTCTTTTTCTATGAACTCAAGAGGGAGTTCCTTAACCACTCCTTGTTAGATTCAGCAAAGTTGCCTGAGCACCATATAATCCTTTCTGCACAATAGTCATTTCATCAACAGTCTCAGAATATGTTCAAGATATCGTGAATAAAACATTCAAAATGGCTTTCCAAAATGGTGAATTCCTGAGCTAAACCCGAGGCAATGTTCTTTTATGTTTTCTTTTGTATACTTTACTGAAAGGCGCTCATTTCATGAAGATTTCGGCAAGACATGTTCACACAGCTTTTTAGTTGGACTCTTAATTCTAAAGACATATTTGGAATCCTATATTTTGATGCAATGCAGTTTGACTTGGGGTTATTAATCAGAACGTTTACCTACCCACACCTCATTAAAGGTATTGTACATGTCGCCAAGCTCCACTTCAGGCTAGGTCCACTTTGAAAGGTGTTTTGACCAGATGATATTTGGACCAGAGGTTACTTAATACTTGTATTATTCCATCTTTCTATGTAATCCACTGACAGTAAAACCAATTTGAGGCACTCATTTTCTATGTATTACTTAGCTGTCAGTGTTTGGGAGCAGGTGATAAAAAATATAAGGGTAAATCAACCTTTGTGACTATGAGCATGATTTGAAGAAGCCTGCATAGATCTACCTGCACTACCCATTCCAGACACATTCCTGAGTAATGCACTAATTAATCTTATGATCTTGGAATCTTATCATTCTATGAGCAAAGTAAACCAGAAAATGAGTGCTGGCTTTTTACTTAGTGAAAAATAATAATATTCATATTTTCCGAAGTGGTATTTTCACTGGAACTAAGGAAACTGTGTAGTTCACATGTTTTTGGTATTAATCCTTTCATCCAAGTGGTACTAAAATAATGTAATGGGACTGATCCTTAACTCACAAAACTGTACAAATTCTTAATTACATGAATTTTAAGCAGAGTTTAAGTGTTTAAATAATATATAATGGTTTTCCTCTGAAATAAAATACAATACTGATCACAACTGGGCTGAAAATGGGTGACTTTAAAATTAATGATGCCATTGCATTTAGGTAGTATCATTTCCTTCCCTGGCTTTATTTATGCTTTAAACACTTAATACAACGCTTAAACAATAAATTAGGAAAAAGCTACAGGGCACCTGTATCACTCAAACTGATTTTATATTTCAGAATGCAACCAAAAATAGTTTGTGAAGTGATTCAATGTCTAAGTATTTTTCTAATGCTGTCTTCAGTTTCACTTTCATACTAGTTTATTTTATAATTCAATAAAAGACCAATAAGGAGAGAACTTCTAGCAGCTAAGTATTTACAACAGCTAATTACTTACAGAAAAATCAATCAACAAAGCTCACAAACCAAATAAAATATATCTGCCACTCTAAGCAGACTGAAAAGATGATGACCATAAAAGTGACCATTCTTCTACTTCAGACATGAAATGTTTCCCTTTATTCTGAATGACATGTAGGAGGATATCTTTCCTCTTCCTAGTCACTCTTTGATCCCTCTCAGGTATTGCTGATAGGGAGGGAACCAGGCAAAGACTGACTCTCTCACGTATAAGAACTTGCCTCATTATTGTCTACCCTCCTACGTAAGAGCAGCCTCTTCAGTGATCACTTAGAGAAAGAGCATCTGACGGAAATCATAGACATAGAGTTATTGAATAATTCAGGTTGAAAGAGATTTCTGGAGGTCATCTCATGCAACACTCTGCTCAAAGCAGTGTCAGCTTTCAAATTAGATAAAGTTGTTTGGAGTCCATTCCAACAAGTTGCAAGTATTTCCAAGGACGGAGATTTCACAATTTTTCTTACAGCCTAGATTGATGTTTTGGGCTTTAAACTTGTTTCAGTTGTTTCAAGTTTATATTTGTTTCAATTTGTCCCTGTGCTTCTTGTTCTAGGGAGCACAAAACCAAATAAAATACTGCAGATGTGGTCTCACAAGTGCTCAAGAGAAGTGAATAATCATTTCCATCAGCCTACTAACTATGTATGTGCTGAGGTGGACCACTATATAGTTGGCCATCATCACTGCCAGGTCATACTGGTAACTTACATTCACCTTGCCATCCCCAGGACCTTTCTGGAAAGCTGCTTTGTGATCTGTCCTGTTGTATGGAGTTATTCTGTTTCAGATAAAGGGCTCTGCATTTGCATTTTCTGTATCTGATTATGTTTCCGTCATCCCTTTCCTTCAGCTGTCAAGAAACTTTCAAATAACAGCCCTACCATCCAAAGTGTCACCTGCTTCCCTCAAGCACACAGCTTGCTGAGGATTCATGTTGTTACACAAGACATTAAACAGTATCTAATAGCAATTTTAATATCAGCCCCAGAGTTAGTACCCAGACACCAGCTAAAGTTTAAATCACCGACTGCCAGGCAGTTTTCCACCAACCTTGTAGTCTGCTCATAGTCTGCTTGTAGTCCTTATCTGCCCAGGCTGGTTACAA